TCATTGCGAAAACCCTCACAGCTGGACCCATCATGATCGAGAGAAAAGAGTGATGTCAAGGAGCCCATGATTCTTGGATCCGCAATCCACACTCACGGAAGCAGCAGCCAGAACCCACAGGACGGTGCAGTGCTCTGGGCAGGTCTGCTGCCTCTTTCCAGGGTCAAAGAGCCAAGATGTCACTGTGAGCGCCTGACTCAAGCCATGGTCTGGTCAACCCCCTCATCCACGTGGGGAAGCTGGAAGTGGCAGGGACGACTGCGGAAGAACCGGGACAACGAGGTACACGAGGTACGGTGCTGGTGAAGAATAGGGGAGGACCGCGGACCGCCAGAAGAACAAATCGGTCTGTGTTGGAGGAAGCAGAACCAGCATGGCCCTTAGAGTGACGATGGTGACACTTCATCTCATACACTCGGGATGCGTCATCAAGGGGAGAAGGACATGCTTGGTGACGCGGAGAGTCAGCCAACAAGAGGAAGACCCTCAAGGAGATGGAGGGACCCAGTGGCTACAACAAGGACGCCTGCATCGCAACAGTTGTGAGCATGGTGTTTCGTTCTGTGGCCCCTGGGCTCGGAGTCCGACTGACGGGGCTGTCGCCGCGGGTTGGAATCAACTCAATGCCATCGAGTTGATTCCAACTCATAGTGAGCCTGCAGAACAGGGTAGCGTGACCCCTCTGGGCTTCTGAAGCTGTGCATCTTCATGGGAGCAGAAAGCCTCATCTTTCTCCCTCAGAGCCATTGGTGGATTCGAACCAACGCAACGGGTGACCCACGTCACCACCAGGGCTCCCATGGGGAAGGGCGGGGACTCATCAACTACGTTGCAAGTGACTTTCAGGAGAAGCTCCTGGAAGATGCCTGACACTGAGGATGAGGAGGTGCGTAAGGGGGTGGCGGGGGGGTGGGTGGGGGGTGGGGTGGCCAGAGAGCGAGTGTCCGAGATGGTGACAGCAGCAGCAGGGGGAGGAGGGAATGTGTGGAGATCGAGACAGCTCTGAGGAACTGGGAGGGCTCGGGGGTGAACTGCAGGGACTGGCAGATCTAGGGAGGGTGGCATGGGTGGGTTGGAAATGGGATATACAAGGGTGGCTTGGGTTTTGCCCATCCTTTTTCACAGCGGGGACATAAGCAGGTGATTGAAGCTGGTGGGGCCGCTAATGTCCAGATTATCAGATCAACACACCACCGTACCCGCGTGCTCCAGTTCAGAGCTGCTCAGCCGGCGGAGAGCTGGTGCTGCCGCTGTGCGTGTGCAAATGCCTGGCGGTTGGCTCCTGAGCCCCTGGCCTGTGGCTATGGCTGGGGTGGGCTGACCAGCCACCGCCCATCCCCTGGGCCTCTGCCCCCAGCAGCCCTGACTGTGTCCTTGTTTAGTTGCCGGGACTGTGGATACGGGAGCACCCAGCTCATCATTTCTGCGGTTTCCATTCTGGGAAGGTTGGGAAGGTGCTCGGGCCCCAGGCAAACGTTCTAGCTTCTGGAGATTTCCAGAAGGAGCAGCTTCCTTTCCAGGGTTGTTCAAGTCCTCTTGCTGGTGGCTGCAGCGGCGGCATCGGCGTCGGATGCGTCTTGTTCTGAGAATACACTTGTTTCGCACAGGGGCTCACTCAGCACCTCTCTCTTAGAGCCTGGCGGAGGCCCCAGACCTGAAGGCAGGAGGTGGCCTCCAGGGATAGTCACAGATCGGGGTGGCGGTTGAGGTGTGATCGTGAAAGGGGTAGGCTGTTTCCCGTGGCACGGTGGGTGCTCATTCCCCGGTGAGAGCGCAGGCGGCCTCGTCTCTCTCCACTGGGTTCCGACTGCTGAGCCGATGGTGAGCAACCGGTATCCATCGGGCTCCTCGACAACCCCCCCAAAAGGGGTCGCGACCCACAGGTTGAGAACCACAGTGCCAGAGGCAGAAAACCAACCAGCAGCAGCAGCTTTCTAACAGACCCTGCTGCTGGGGGTCGGGAGCCCTGGACTGCAGAGACAGGTGTTCTGGTGCGCAGCGGAGCTCCGTGAAAGTGTGAGTCTAACCCCACTGTAACTTATGTACAGGGGGTCCTGAACTTAATGATGGATTAACCAAGCACACTTAAGGCTATCTTGGGGGTGGGGGTGTAAGATGTACACATACAATGTTACCGCACGTAACCTCCTGGTGTTATCATTCTCAGATGTTCACTCACGGAAGTCCAAGGTTATGATATGATGAAGACATGGGTACTGAAAGGTAACAGTGAGGCTTCAGCTGTGCATCACATCCTGGATCTGCTGAGCCCTGGGGCACGCCAGCAACCTTCTCCTGCCTCTGGCCACTGACCCGTGTGGTGGCACCAATCGAGGCTTAGGTAACCGGGTTGTGATTTGATGTGATCTCCTCCAGTCTTGACACTGTAGGTAAATACTCTGTGGTTGCTCCCTTCTCCTCCTGCAGCTCCTCCCCAGAACCAGATAACACGGCCCCTCTGTGAGTCCCCTGGCACTGCTGTGGCATGTGGGTGGCGTGCAAGAAGGGACCTTTGTCTCCCGACAGTTCTGGGCTGAAAGCCCCAATCAAGGTCTCCACCCGTGTGAGTCTTTCCTTGTGGCAGCCCTGCGTGTTCTTGAGACGGGATGAGATCGCATCCAATCACAGCCCGGTACTAAGTCCTCGGTTGCTCGGGGATCCCTCACAGGGTCAGTCTTTCCTGTCCTATGTACACAAGCCTGGGTGTTTCGTTTGCTTTTATAACAGCACAAGTTGCTAGATTCAGAGCTCACACAACTCGTTCTGACGGGCCACCGAGGCTCCCAACTCAGTGCACAACAGAACAGAACCCTGCCCGGTCCTGGGCCGGCCTCACGATTAGGCTCAGGTTTGAGCCCACCAGTGCAGCCACTGTGTCCATCCAGCTGGCCAAAGGTCATCTTTTTGCTGCCCCTTAACTCTGCCAAGCATGATACCCTTCCCCAGGGCCTGGTCTTTCCGAAAAACCTGTCCACAGTCTGGGAGACCAAGCTCACCATCCTGGCCTCTAAGGAGCATTCTGATTATACTTCCTCCAAGACGTACTTACTTGCTCTTTGGGTAATCCACGGTGCGTTCAATATTCTTCTCCAGCATCAAACGTGCCGTGTTCGTCAGTCTTCCTTACTCAGTGTCCAGCTTCTGCGTGCACAGGAGGCCACTGAAAATATCCTGGCTTGGGACAGGCGTGCGTCTTCGAGTGCTCAAATTAAGCTCCTTGCTTTTCAATCCTCTAAAGAGGTCTCGTCCAACAGATTGGCCCAGTGCAATGTGCCGTCTGATCTCCTGCCTGCTGCTCCCACCAGCATGAATCGTGAACCCAGCCAAGACCCTCTAGCGGGGAGCATCTCATTTACCCAAGAAAGCACCGTCTCCACACAGGATCCCATCCACAGGGTTAGGGGGTTGGAGTCGAGCCCTGGGTTTGAGGATACAATTCATGGTACATGTTCTCCTCATGACCAAGATCTCATGCCTGCCGGATAGCCAGCTGGGATCTACAGCCAAGGCCCAGAGCCAAGTGGGACCAGTGCCCCTTAACAGCTTCTGGCCAACTGGGTCAGCCAGGCACACAGAGCCAACACTTGGGGTTACGCAGAGCTGGGCGACAGGTGGGTGCGCAGGCGTGGCTGTGAGTGTGTCACTCACTGAGAGTGAACTGATGTCTGCTTGACACGCACCTCGTGCACTTTTTCCTCATCTGCCTGCTCCAGCCATCATTCGCTGGAGAATCCGGTGGAGAGTGGCCTCCTCGGCAGCGGGGACCGGTCTCCTCTTCCTTCCTGGGCAGGGTGAGCTCGTTTCCTGTCGCCATTGCAACAGGTACCCTGCAAAGTCAGCATCCTGCTAGGCAGATAGTTCTTGGTCCCGGAAGCAAGAGAACCTTAGGAGGAGTTATTGCTCATGTGTCACTCGTTGAAAAATTACCCAAGACGGGAGGAGGCGCAGGTTGTGCAAGTTCCATTTGACCATTGAGCGGAAGTTACCAAAGCCTTTAGACTGAGTGGAGGATAGTCTCAGGGCATAAGGATTCAACCCTTATTTTAAAGTGTCCCCCTACCCCTCTGTGTGTTGGTGGGGATGGGGGGGGGGTAGGATTAAAGTGTGTGTGTTTGTGTGATTAAAGGAGCCAAATACATTGAGATTTTGCCACGTTCCAGGTGAGTTCCAATTCCCAGGGGCTTCAACTGCCCTGGGAAAAGGTCTACATGTCTTGGAAAGGCAACTGGAAAGGAATCCAAATCGCTGTGAGCCTCAGGCTCCTAGCCGAACGGCTTGTGCAAGCTCGTCTTGTTGAGAGACTTTGGGGCCTAAACACAACGGAGCAGTCAACCAGGCGCAGCAAACCCCACCAGGGCGCAGGCAGGCACCCGCTCCGTGGCTTTCAGGGGCAACCGGCTCAGCAGGCAGGGCTGAGGACCCTAGACCTGGAGTGTTTGCAGAAGGCGCCTGCTTCTGGCGTCCAAACCTGCATTTGGAGGAACCAGGCCACATTTTCCACAACAGGCAGCCCAGCCAGCAGCAGTGGGAAGGAGCCGCTCTCGTCTCGTGGGGAAATGCTACGGAGAGAAGCGCTGCCAGGGCGGTGGGGCGGCTTTGAGGATGCTGGCGCGATCTGGGGAATGCAACCATGACCTAAAAAGGCAAACTCGGTCCATCCGCTGCCGCGGACGCCGGCTGCACAGTGAAAGGATGTGTAGGTGCTCAGCCATTGTATTAAAGCCCACCCCACCCGTTTGTCAGATGGATCGCGGTCCCGGGTGGGGCTTGAGAACGCACACCAGCATGCATGTGGGCTTGTGTGACCTTCACGGCCCAACTCACTGGGAGCCATCCACAGACACGGAAAATGGAGGCTCGGGATAAGGGGGCCAGCACGTGACCCGGAGGCCATGTGGACAGTCTCCCCGTCCCGCTGAGGTCACCTCCGACGCGGTGAGGGCCTGGCGTGGGCTGCTATCTACCGCTTGGGTTATTCGCAAGTATTTCTTTCCACACCCAGTCCATCCCTGGCTGCCCCATGGAATTGGCGGGGGGCGGGGCAGCTGGTAGGGATCAAGGAATGGGAACTAGGGAATGCTCTCGCAGCCCAGCGGGCAGAAGTGCTGCCAGACTCCCCACCATGGAAGCCGTCATCGTCACCGTCACCGGTGAGCTGACTGGATGAAGGCAGGCCTCCAGGAGGGGCCTCAGTTGGCGGTCCCAGAGCCAGGCAGGCAGAGATGGGGGGGAGGGGACCATTGAGACGAGACAAAGTGTGAGCGGGGAACACGAGGCAGGCATCGAGAGGCCTCCCACAGCGGCCGGGCGGCCAGGCCCTCCTCTCCGGAGCCCCTCAGCTGCCCCTGACTGCCAGGAAGGCCGCTGAGGACCCAGGGGAGCCCGGGCCCACGGGCTCGTTAGTGCCTCTTTCCCAGAGTTCATTCTGCTTTCTGTCAATGGCAGGGGGCTTCGCTCTGGCGCAGGATGCCGGCAATGGTTTAATTAACTGCAGTTTGGGGGGGGGGTGTCCGAGGTACACTGAGAGATCACTTCCAGATGGGGAGAGAGGAAGGTCCTTACACAGAGAGAACCACTGCTCGAGTTTAAGGCAACCCACCGCACACGTGTGGGAGGCGGCACTCCATTTGGACAGAGCGGGCGTTACGTGAAGCATAAAAGGCAATTGAGTCTTTACACAGGCCAGCCCTCCGTGTGCCCGCGTCCACAGGCCACTGCCCGCGCGGGCCCGGTGTGGCTCCCCTTTGTTGTGAGGATCGGACTCTCGGTGCGAAGCATCTGCCTTCGCCAGTCAAGCAGGCTGGTGGTTTTGGAAAGGGTCGCTCTGAGTGGCCGCCCACTCAATGGCGTGAGCCCCGGGGAGAGGGCTTACACCCCCAGCCGTCCACTTCTGGCGTCTCCCTCCATTCTGTGAACCAGGAACCAGGTACTCCGGTCCAACAGAAATTTAGGAGGAAGCTATGTAACACCCGCGTCAGGTGGCCCACAGACTCACTCTGCCCCAGACTGCGGCACTAGAATTCCTGCCCACTCCCTACTCTTTGGGCCGGCCCTAGGGCAGCCACACTGCTCGGCAGAAAGCTGGTGCCCTTTCTGGGTGGTGGGCATACTCTGGTCTTGGCTCTTTCTTCCACTGAAGGGGAAGAAGTGGCCGTAGGTAGCTTCAATCCCCGAAGGGGCTTGGAGGTCAAAGAGTCCTGTCCACCCCTTCTGTTTCCCTGTGGGGGCCCAGGCCACACGTTCTCCAACCCGGGGCCCTTCGAGGCCAGCCACCAGGAAGTCTGTCCATCGCAGGCTGAGCAGTTGGGATGTTTACTTATAAACCACCAATACTTTATTTTAACCACGTACAGGAACTTCGGTTATTGTTTAAGGGTTAGAGAGAGCGAGGGCAGGCAGGCCTACAACAGGTCAAGTTCAGAAGAGTTACAGCACTCCTTTCTGCATGTTGCTTCGAGGGGACGGGGAAAAACACACGCTTCTGTCTGGGGCCCGGCCCTCAACACAAGAAACCGATCCAAACTGCTGGCTGTGGCGAGCTGCCAGCCAAGACGGGTTACCACGAGGCCCCAGCCCCTGTGCTCCTTACATACATGTACGGAAGTGGACTCAGGGAAGCCACCTGCCGCTGCACGGGCTATTCACCTGCGTGCACAATGGCTCACCTTGGGCCATTTAAACGTGCAGGGGTGGGGTGGGGTCAGAGGGTTCATGGGAAAATGCCACCAACATGTGTCTGGGAACTTTCTGAAGTCCCTAGGTGTGTGGCAGGCCCCACCTGACTTACCCAGAATCCCCAGGAGTCTGTAATTTTAGAGGGCCTGGGTGAGGCAGCCGAGACTCCCCCCCCTGCCCGCCCCCCCGTGAGGCCGGCTGTGCCTCCCTCGGACACCCACACAGTGCGAGGTCCCCCATGCCATCAGTGAGATGCTTCACATAACGATCCCTGACATCTGCCGGCTCAGTGGAGGTGCGGACCAGGTAATAAATCAGGGAAGCAGCTCGCCTGGTTATGACCACCAACTGAGAAGACAAGGCGGCCGCCTGACAGCTCTGTGCGGCAACAGACATGACAAGTATGGGTCTGTAAACAACCGGGGTGACGAGAGCCAGGCGTGGAGTTGCTGGCTGCTCGGCTCTGCAGGCAGACGCAGAGAGACACAGTGCTGTTTGGAGGCGGCCCCGCTCAGGAGCAGGGCAGGGAACTCAACGAAGTGAGCGTTGCCAGCAAACCTCACCAGAGCGACGGACGGGGCTGGGCCACTGTCCTGCCAAGGACACTCTTCCAGGGCCCTGCCTTCGGCCTTGTCCCCAGAGCGGGTCTCCAGGCTCCAGCCCGCCTCCCACGGCCTGTTTTCTTCTCAGTGTTCTCGAGAGACCATGGTGGCCAGTGGCCACTGGTCAGTGTGGGAAAACGAGAAGGGAGGAAGTAGTCTAGTGTTCTGGTCGCGGTTTTCAACTTGTAGCTTTCTACTACTGGGCTGTCGCTAGTTTGATCTCAGTCCGATGGGCCATCCCGACTTGAACCGGAAGCTGTGAGGAACTGTGTGTGTGAAAGCCCTCCCCGCCGCCCCTCAGCACTCCTCACCTACTACCTGGCCTTCCTGAACACTTGCTGACCCAGCAGTGTGCGGGGAGGGGCAGGAAGAGGCGGGGCGTTCTGGGGAGGGGGGCTGACAGAAGCGGTTGGAGGAAGGGGTGAGGGGGAGGCACATGGTAAGGGGTTGATGAACATCTGCTGGGGACAGCCTGGACCCACACGGGCCTTCAGCCATCGGGACTCCTGCTTCCTTCAGGCATCGGAGATGATTTACGTTGCTCTTTTATAAACCCTGCCCTGACGGGGCTGCATCCACCTTGGCACCCCCCAGGTCTTGGGGCCGACGAACTGAGAGTCATGGGGAGGACAGTGGGGGTCAGCGATTCTGGGGCACGGGCTGCTGAGGGTCGCCAGCCGGGAGGTAAAGCTGCTCCCTCGTAGGTACCTACAGTCTCTTTTTAATTAGCTTCTCCAGTTTCCGGATGCGAGATGATTCCTGCTCCGGCGTGGGGGCCATCAGGGACAGTGGGCTGGCGCCCTCCGGCCCTGCAGCGGGCGGGGTAGGCAGCCTCTGGCGCAGGAGTTCCAGCATGCTGCTCTGCTCGCTCCTCTTCAGGCCCTGCAAGGGGGGAAGGGGGGAGGGGGGGAGACATGGCGAGGCTGGCCCACAGGGAGGGGCCAGCCCCCTACGCTGGGCTGTGCCAGCAGGGGGCCGGGCAGGTGGGGGTGGAGGGAGCACTCTCCTCAGAGGAGCAATCGCCGGGAAGCATTCTGGGAGAAATGCAGCAGTGGAGGGAAAGGCTCCAGACCCAGGGGAGGGAGAAGGAGAGGAGAAAGGAAGTCAGGTAACAATCTAATGGGCTAACACTCCTGGCTCCTCATTCTACCCTGGGGACCCCAGCCCGGCTCAGCAGTACAGGTGCTCAGGGTCTGACCGTCTGCTGAGAGGCTGGTTGCAGAGCACTCCAAGGAGCCCCCCACCCCACCCCCACCCCCTGGAGACCACAGCACCTGCCCAAAGCCCAGCGTCTGCACACCAGCTTTTCGCAAGCTAACCTTCATGTCCAGTATCTTCTGGAAGGTTTCTGTGTTGCAGTCCGTCAGGAGTTTGATATAGTTGTCCACAAACACCTGTGGCGGCTCATGCGGGGCCATCACCACCTACCAAGGAGAAGGTAAGGTTGGCCCTCCAGGGACTTCTGGCAGGAGGGCAGGGGCAGCCGGCCCAACCCAGAATGGGTGGAGCAGCCTGATGGGCGGCTCCCGTTTGCAGGCGTCGGTGGTCCTCACCCCCACCACCCTGGGAACAGAGCAAACCTGCCCCACCGGCTGCCGAGGCACCGAGCAGGGGCTGGATTGTCCCCGTGAGGAGCACCAACCTGTCCCTCAGTCGCTCAGGGCTTAACCACTGCCCCACCACACTGCCGTTCCAGAAGCGCCACGCCTAAATGGGTCGGATCACAAACTTCCCCGAGATGCTATTTAAAGTACAGATTCCAACCTCCCTCCTCTCAAGATCGTGTTCAACAGGGTCTCGGGGGACCATCTGGGAAACAGCATGTCAGGGGGTGTGAGCCCAGAGGGGGCCTCGCACTGCGCTGCTCACCCACCAGGTCAGCAGGTGGACCCCATGGCCGCCCCGAGGGAGGAGGATGAGGCTGTGTGCTCCCGTACCCAGTGACAGTCTCGGCCACCCAAAGGGGCGTCCAACCCGTCTGACAGGGTCGCCGGGAGTGAGTCTCAGAGCGCCTCCAGTTGGAGCCTTCCACGGGCCGCGCAGCTGCTGCCTTCAGCCGAGAACTGGGAGGCAGAGGAAGCCATTTCCTCACAGAGCTGCCTGACTCTTGCAAAGGCATAGAACCTGGGACCGGCAGTCCATTCGATGGCATGGGGAGAAGGGAAGTCAAGGGGCCCCAACCCGCAAATTCACGTCAGCGAGGGTTCTGGAGGGCGGTCGCTGATTGCCTTGAGTGAAGGGGTAGTGCCCTCAGTAACCCTTTGCCAACAATGCCCCTGGCAAGTGAACCAGCTGGGCAAGAAAATGACTAGGCTGCTTTCAGTGTCCGGGGGCTGGAGGCAGCTGGCCTCCCTGGGTGCCCACACCCCTGCCGCCATGCTGGCACTAGGCTCCGGAGAGAGACCTGCGTGCTGCGGCCTGGGGCTTCAGAAACCACCTCCTGGCAGCACCACTTGTACTCTTGCTGGCCCCACCCCCTCCCAAGGGAGGCCCTCTTCCTTTTCAACGGGTCCAGGTGGAAACCCGGGGAGCTGCTCTGGGCTGCAGCCCCCTCAACATCACCCCTCTACCTCCACTCGTGTGTGAAAGGATCAGACGCAGTGATGGCAGCTCAGAGTCTGTTTGAAGTGGCAGCAAGGATGGAGAACAAATCCCCAAAAGCTGGCATGGAGGGTAGTAAGAGTGTGGGTGGGGACGGGCAGATGGGAGGGCGCTGGAGTCCCTGTGAGGCGCACAGGGACCTCTGATTTACAACCTGAGTCACGCAGCACAGCCACCGAGTCAGTCCTGCAAACCCTATGACGAAGGAGCCATCACAACCGAGCCCACAGCCGTCGGAAGAATGACTGACCCCAAGTCTCCAGGATGGGTGCAGGCAGGCCCAACCTATGCTTTCAAAGCCGAAGCTCCTTGGATAAGGGGCCGGTTAAGACCCCCGGGGAAGGCAGGGCCGGCAGGCACCTTGAGGATCATCTCGGCGCGGGTCATGCCCTTCACCACGATCTTGGTGTAGCTGGCCGGCGCCTTCCTCACCACCTGCGAGCCGATGGAGGGCAAGTCCAGCAGCACCATCTTCAGGGAGTGGGTGTCCAGCAGCAGCTGCGGGAGGAAGCGGAACAGCCACTCAGACGGACGCCATGCTGGAGGGCACGTGTGACGGAAAATGCACACACACCCCACCCCACCCCACCGTGATTGTGAAAGGAATGTTCTCGTCGCAGAAAGTGTGGAAAGCAAAACAGAAATGCAGAAGAAAAAAGTAATAATAAGCCACAGTCAAAATGCGATGTGTGTGTGTGTGCGCGCGCGCGCGTGGGTGTGTATAGTAAAAAAAAAAAAGTTAAAGTTAAAATGAGACTATACTGGACATATGCAGTATAACTTGTTTATTCCACTTAATATAGGAAGGTTTCTGTAGCCTACTTTCCCATCAAGTTAGCCCTTTAAAAAAGCCATGATGTTTCGTGGCTACAAAATGCTCTGTATGTGTGTGTGTGTGTGTGTGTGTGTGGGGTAATTGCATGACTTAGAAAGTACTTAGCCTTCGCCTCTTTCTTGTGTGTCCAGATTTTCATTGCTCTAAGCCGTAAAAGCCTTGTACACAG